TGCATTTATAAATTAAGGCATAGTTAAGAAAGCCCTTAATCTGCGTCTGTCTTTGCACTTTCTATCTATGGATGTATTTGCATAATACATTTTTATTATGTGATAAAAAAGGCTTTTCTGTGTGAAAGTCTTGTCCATGTGGACATTGCTTACTGTTTTTGGTCTTTCAACTTGACTGGCTTCCTTGCCTTTTATCTTGGTAGGTGATACATTACTATTCCAGCCATAAAAAAGCTGCTTTGTTGGTATTTCAAATACACTCACAGTACAATATAACCTGCAACATACAAAGCCAGTAGTATAGTTCATGTTGAGCTAAAACCTAAGAACTGACAGAATAAAAAGGCCAAATTACAGCATTTTCCAATCTAAGAACAAACAGGCTCATCCCAAGGTAATTATCAAACCTAGTGTTGAATGCAAATTACAGAACTTCCACAGGATTAAAATAGACATAACAAAGTACATTATTCTGCAATATTAGCATCGAGTATGGAAATAGTGTCAAATATGGCTCTAATATTAAAGTCTTAGCAAAAGCCTTCATAGCAAAAACAGTCTGGGAAAATTAAACTAGCTACAATCAAAAAGAAAGAAAACAATTATTTGAAATCCTTGCTGTCACCAAACAGCTATAGAGAAAAACAGAGACACAGAAACCAGGACTACATGCAGATTAAGTTTACAGCACAATCCTGTCATCTTGATATTATCAGTGTATTGATGATCCGGAACTAAATGCGGGTTCAATTTTAAGAGGAAACGCCGCCAACTACAGACTGGAGCTGATTCTGCAGTTTTCTCAAATTCTGTAGGATTAGCATGGATTAAAATGCATGTTTACCGCGACTCCACAATAAGATACAAATCAACTGCTGGACCTCCTTAAGCCATGAGACGTCTGGAAAACAGATTTACCGCTGGTGGATTGCATCGCTTGCTGTTCAGTATCAATATCACCAACAAGTAATTTGTGATCCCACTGATTTCATTCATTAGATTCCACAGAGGGAAGCATTAATCGCCGAGCGATTAATCAGGAGTCGGGATTCTCCCGCATCAACCTTCCTGCTGCTGATTAGTCTCCAAGGGCGACCAGTGACTCATTAGTCAAACTGAGATCAGCAGGTGGTGACTGATAGCGCGATCATTTCTGCTTTATTGATCCACAAGCCAGTGCTGCGGCCACTTTTTTCACTTCAATATTATTCTTGTAATTTCACCAAACACATGAATTTCATGGGATTATATCACTCAGTTTCCAGGACGACTGAACACAAGTCTGCATTGTATCTTTGATTAGTAAACAGACTCAGGCATTTTTCCCATATAATGCCCAATGGTGGAATATAAGTACATGTACTAACTACAGCACCTAGGTACGCATTTTAAGTACTTATTTATTTATATGGGTATTTTTATTTTATGCTCCTTTATATTTGCTACTCCACTACATCTCAGAGGGAAATTACTTTGAAAAAAAGAATTCAGCTAATAAATTGATGATGTATTATTATACAGTATAGGTTAAAATACCTAGCAGTATAAGAATAAGTTAATATGAGCTCCACCTTTATCAGCTATTTCTGAAATGTGCCTTTCTGCATTATAAAAACTTTCAAATGTTGTACTTTTGTAAATGTACTTAACAGAGACTTTGATTGCAGGACTTTAACTACACTGTGGTATGAGTACTTTTTTGTTAAGTTCAAGTTCTGAATACTTCTTCCGCCCTGGTTCATGCCACACATCGGATGACTCATGTTCAGAAGCCTGTGAAGCTGACACTTGCTGCAGTCAAAAGGTGAAGCTGACACTCAGGAGTGTGATGCCTGTGATGCCAGCTGGGTGAGAACGAGAAACACTTTAGGCAATTCAGACACATGAAAACAGCAAAAGTTCCCAGAGCAGAACAGTCTGATTGATTCCTGTTATTCATCTGCAGTCTTATTGTTTTACTGTCCGTTACTCCCAGGTGTGCTGTTTGTGTGGGACTAACTGCGCCAACAGCACAGCGACGAGCAGCTCCACAGCAGGGGAGCAGTCACATTGCAGCAGAAGAATCATGTGAAAATGTCGAGCAAAATGTTGTTATGCACTCCCATAAAGAGTCTAAGTGGCTAAAAGCTTTATGATTCAACAACATGAAACTTCTCCCTAGAGAGAGGTGTGCAGGGGCCACCTTCTGAAGAGCACAAAGTCACCTCACTATGTCCTGTGGAAATGTGGCAGTGACTCACATGCATGGAGAGTACTTTGTGAAGTGTAAAAGTTAAAAGGTATTTTAGGAAAGGAAAGTGCTTTAAGGTTAAATTCAGAACAATGTTTACAAACCTAATACATGTTGATGTATTTAGTGGTTTGGTGGTACTGTGAGCTTCTAAAAACTGGACTTTACTTTCTCCTGCTAATGTATCCTTCGTTGTACTCACCAAAGTAATCACTGAAATCTCTTTAAATAAAAGGGCGACGGGCAACAAACATGAGCAGTTGAGCAACAAAGTTTGAAAACAAACCCCAGGTCTGTTCAATGTTATCAAAATGTATTACACCTGCCCCGTAGATTGAGATGTAGAACTGTTTTCTGATCTGCAGGTCTGTAGCATTTGTCTGTTCTTTGCAAAGCAGCTACCTGAATGTTAACAAGTTGATCCATTTGTTTCTTATGGCAATGGCTGACCACCTAAAAATAACTACGACCTTCACAAGGCTTTGTCACCTGAATGTGGTTTTGGAGTTCTCTCTGAAAAGACTGATGCTGTCCTTCTTCCAGTGAAGACTTATTCAACTTATTTTATAGAAACACATAACATGAAGGTGACCCACTGGATTTGACCCAGTTAGTCACACGGGCAGTTTGAAGCTTTAAAAGCGACATTATGGGTTCACCTATATTCAGTTAAATACCAAAAATTAATTGGTGCAGACAGCCAGCTTGTTTACGACCTGTATGAGTGTTGTTCTCCCACTTGGTCCTATTTTTAGCAATGATGCCAGGTTCCCTGATCTGAACAATTGGAGTGTTAGTATATTTTACAGGGTAGAATTGTTATTCTTCACAAAACTATTCCGCGTACTTCATGCATTAATGAGTGCAACGCTGTTAATCTTTTTCACCTCGTCTTCGTGTGGGGCCATCTGAAACAGCTATAAAGAAATTGTATTAGTTCTCTGCTTGCCTCACCTGACCTTTACTTTGGTGAGTACAATGTCATCTATAACTGCATACACACAGACATTGATGAGAAATAAAAAACATTGTGAAGAGTGACCTCTTGACTGTGAGCGTTCTTTCCCTCTGGTTATTCTTACTGAATTTATTTGAAACTATCAATGTTTTATCTCTGGCCTAAATAAAATTAATATTTGTAAAGTAATGAGAATATTTGAGAGACATAATAAAGTTGGGTTAGAGGGTTGGCCTTAGTGGAACACACTGCCGAACGTCCACAGTGTGTCATCCGTAGCTCTCCAGTAACATTTTATTTCTGTTAGTCCATTTTAACATCTTAATCAGGCCTCAGTGCATGTGCAAAAACTTGATTTTGGCACATAACATCTGATGTATTGAGTCCCTTGTTAAAAGGACGCTCTGTTTACTTTTTGTCTTTAGTTCTCTCTCAGAAACTGTAACTTGTGACGCGCTGAGGCGAGGCTGTTCTCATTAGGCTCAGTATCCACGCGGAGCTGGCCCAGATAAACCTGCTCAGCAAGTCTTTCCCTGAAGAGTTACAGTTACTGTGCTAGATATGCAAAACCCAGCCAACACAGAACAGAACAAACTCTGTGGAAGAAAGATTTAAAGTCTGTTGTGCTGTTCAGAGAGCTGCAGCCCAATCAACCCCCCTAACTGTGTGTGTGTGTGTGTGTGTGTGTGTGTGTGTGTGTGTGTGTGTGTGTGTGTGTGTGTGAGTGTGTGTGTCTGTGTGAATGCATGCATGTGATACATTAAGAGTGAGAGTGAGAGTAAGCGAGTGTTTGCAATAATTGAGTTTAGTCAAGAGTTACTTGGGGTCTAAGAGCATTACACACTTGAGTGTGATTGATAAAGTGGATTTGGCGTTGTAGCCATAGTAAGTCCATAAGCAGTGTGCTACTGGGAGCAGTAGCAGCATTGGAGCTTGGAAAAGGGACACACCAACACACAGACACATGCACAAATTCCCACACACACACACACACACACACACACACACACACACACACACACACACACACACACACACACACACACACACACACACACACACACACAATGTTGTTAAGGACTGAAAGACGCTAAGAAATTAATGGTTTTTATCTCTGTAAATACATTCTGAAATGTATGTTCATGTGTATTTAGTAGATTAGCTTTCTGTTATTAATGGTTTTCTTTTCACCCAATGAGATACAATTTTACCATTGATTTATATACTATTTTGATATTCACTATATATAATTTAATAACAAAGATTTCCTTCAGTTAAGTTTAACCTGAGTAAATGGGCCTGATATGTTTGGCAAATTTCACAAAATAGTATCTCATACGTGTTGTTGCTTTTAAAGGCTGCTACAATTATATTGAAAGCATCAGAAAATGTGAACGAGCAGTCTTTTAAGACCTTGGAGGAAATGACTTCATTAGCCTCTTTGTGTGAGATGGATTTTTCTTGCTAAAGGAAAAATTACCCTCTTGACTGAGGATAAGTGCTTTACAGGGAGTGCCTGCTGACACGCTGACGCACCTACCATTTTGTTATAACACTATAATTATCTCACAACCTTTTCTGTTTTCCCTTTATGTTATTTAGCAAAATATGTCAAACCTCTCATTTATTTTGGCGTTGTTGATGTGTAGATTGTCTTCAAACTCTAACAATAGGCAATTTGTCCGATCCCATAAAACGTGATGTCTGACCAAGAATAGAAACTCAGTTTAGTCAGTGTTGAGGTTTGATGTTCAACTCAGTCGGTGTGCATACATATAAACATCAGGAATACACAGAAAGAGCAGGACTCACCTTGATCCAGAGACTTGGCAGGAGCCCAGCTTTTGAAGTAGTCATCCTGAGTGGAAACACAACACAAGAAACTGGGTTATGAAAAAATAACTAGATTTGGAGAATATCACTAAATTATTTTGCAGACCAGAGAGAGAACAGCCCAAATACTAAACCAAACTACTGAGAGATCCTGTCCTCATTCTACTCGCCTTTTGTTCTCTACTATTTGTGTTTTGTGAAGATGAATGATTGCAGTAGAGAAGAAAAAGACAGGGAGAGGTAGAAGCTTGTTTGGACGTTTGAAAATAGGACAAACATATACAGAGAGACCTGCAGGAGACACACTGGGTGGTGAAGAACATTACATGCTCTGGTGAATAAAGGGTTTAACTAGGACAAAACATTTAAAGGTCCCATGTCATGCTTTTCCGGTTATTACCCGTCCCCTTGTGTGTTATGAAGGTTTTTATGCATGTAAACGGTCTACAGAGTCAAAAACCCTCAAAGTACACCCTGTAGCGAGTAAAACTCTAACACAGAAAATACCTCTCCAAGCGCCTCGTTGGAGATTTCTAATTTTCCATTGTTTTCTTCCTGTATCGCTACGTAGGGATACCCAGTAGCCACGCCCAGAGCTATGGCCGCACCCTCTGCCAGCCTTTCACGAAACAAAGCTTCCCAAACCTTTCAGCGATTCATGCCGGATATGTACAGCGTAGGGCACTGAAGGACGATGCTGTTCCTACTTTGTTTGGACCAGGGGGAGATTCGGGTACACAACCTGTAAGTATTCATTGTTGTTTGTGTATTTATGATGTTTAAAACAAACAAGGTATCTACCACGACTGTTTAAATGGGTAAACGTTTTTCGGACTACTACGTTGGGATCGCGGAGAAATGCTCTCCGCAGACCCATGCTCACAGCGTTATAAACCTTTTTCTTACTCAATATCAAGCCACACTTATTGTTTTTACTTCGGCTGTGAGTGTTTGTGTGTGCTCAGGATGAGTTTTGCTTGTTCTCCTGTATCGCCAAGACGCCGACACGGAAATCCTGTCTGCTCCTTGCAGCAGCTCACACAGCTGCGAGGAGCTGCCAGCAGCAACGAGCCTCTCAGCTTCCCGACCAATCAGAGCATACTGGGCTCACAGGGAGGGGGGGCAGGAGCTCCAACAAGCCGTTTAGGACAGAGAGTGAATACTGGTGAATACACATACTTTACAGAGATGCTGTATGAGAAACCAATGTGAGTTTGGAAAATTGCACAGTATAAATCTATTCTAGTATACCTCAACAATGGAATTATGATCAGTAGAAATGGCCATGCCATGGGACCTTTAATGTCAAGTTCAAAATGGACTTCTACTCGGAAAACTGTTCAGGAAGAAGGGTTGTTAACAGGAAAAAGATGACAGGATGTACATTTTTGCTACTGGGATCTTCTTAAAATCATTTATGAAGAAGCACACATTATTGTTATTACTAAAGTCGTCTACTGTCATGGAGAGATAACTGTCTCAGTTATACTCAGTTGATTAGAGGTTTGGATTTGTTTTATTCAAACACATCTATTCAGAATAGATTTTCTGCCCAGCAAGATACATCTGTTATTATTGTAGAGCAATTAAAACAGCCACAATTAAACCGCTTAAATATTGTGAGTGATCCACGCATCTCTCACGTATAAGAACATATTGGTTAATAGTCGATGAGTCAAGGAGTGGTGTGTTTTCATCCTGCAGCGCTGCAGCAGAAGCAGTTGTGCATTTCAATAGAGCTCTCTGTTATGTGAACAGGTTGATGCTCAGAAGTGTCTGGAGGGTGTAAATGATTTTATAATCCTGCCTCAGCCTTCACTGTGAGTGCCATGAGCTCCATATTTGCATGGAAAATGCTTTAGTTATGTAGCTTTATGTAGTGTTCTTATGTAGTAAGAACTGTAGAAAATGTTTTAGGTGTTAATTAAAGTACAATTTTTAAAGCTTTTTCCTATAAAGATATTGTAGATTTTTACAACACTGTTTGTACCGTCATAACTAACTCTACACGTTTACAACCACAATACAGTGTATTTTAAACACTTTAAACTTAACACTGATTAAGAAAGATAAACTGATTAAGGTTGCGCCAGGTATTGTCTGAAGGCTTTCCTTTCAAAGTGAGCAATACAACCCCACTAACGCCCCCCCCCCTCCTCACTCTCTCACACACACACACACACACACACACACACACACACACACACACACACACACACACACACACACACACACACACACACACACACACACACACACACACACACACACACACACACACACACACACACACACACACACACACACACACACACACAGTGGTGGTGCCTGCATCTAAAGTAGTGCCCACAGCGAGGCATATGTGTGTCAGCAGGGGGGGAGCCTGTGTCAGTGACACTATGTGAGCGAGGCAGAGAGAGCCTGCTGGGTTTGTGAGCGGGTTCTCTACCTCCTTAATTATTGAATTAAAGAGAGGGGAAAGGGAGACGGAGGGAGATTAGTCATAGGAACTCATCCAGTCCTCGTTCTATAAATGACAGCTGTCCGCATTAGAGCCGATACAAAAGTTATAAATGAAGAGACGCAACCTAGATAGCTTCTCCCTCAGGTCCTCACGTCACTAAGTCCTCACTTCATTTGTATCTTTGTCCTTCTCCCCTGCTCTGTCTCTATTATCAAATTATCCTTTATTGCTGTGGAAAGTATGATGTTACTGTGTGAGCAGTCATTTCTGCACAGTTCTAACTGAGCAATGCACCATTTAAACAAATGTGAAACCATTACATTTGTATTCTATGCTTATACAGTACAGTGACAATGACTGCCCATGCTTTGAAAACTCCATCCTCCCTGTGCGATATGTTCACTCTAGTATCAGTTGAAGAAAAAAGGATACTAGTTTGAATCTGCAGAAAAAAACACAACACATCTATTCATCCAGTGTTTCCCCTACCATTGTCTTGGAGGGGCGCTGCGCCCCGCCAACGGAGCCCCGCGCCCCCCCTGAAATTCAAGGTGTTTTAAAAAAAATATATATATTATTTTTATTTTTTTATATATATAGCACCAAAGTGCAACTAATCTATATCTACTGTCACTTTTCACATTGAACATGTGCTCTTTTATTAAATAAACGCTTTCATTTTAAGTTGTGAGTTTAGTGTTTTTGACCCTAAGAAACACTGATGCATTAATCAATAACAATAATCCACAGTTTATCTGCTCCAGAGGATTTAAAAAATGTATACCCCAATTTTTTATTTTAATGAATGATTTCTAAACACAGACACCATTAAATGATTGAAGCATAGGCCAAAGGTTTTTTAATGAAATGATCAACTATAGGTATGGGTGTAATGTTCCGGATTCCCCATATTTTTGGATGTGTTTGGTTAAAATTATGAAACCTACTGAACCAATAAAGCAATATTTTACTGAGCTGAATTGTAAGAAGTCCATCTCAAAGTGGTGCCAGACAAACATTACACTGTCTGCGGCTTCCAGGAAGGAACTGCCGAACGTCTCAAAATGGTATCATCAAGTTACAAACACAATGGATTTACTTACCTCCGCTTCCTTTAAATGGTTGCAGAGGAGAGAGGCAGAGGAATAGAAAGGAGAGAGAAGAGAAAGAAAGAAAGGTCAGTGATAATGGCACAGTATGCTATATCTATCAGAGCTATTACAACCTGGCGTTACTCATTCTGAATACTGAACCCAACTCTGCAGATTCATTTAATAGGAATCTGATTCTGAAGGTGGACCAATACCAAAGGACACACACATACACACACATTCGCGCTCGCAGTCTTATGAGATAGCCTTATTTGATGTGGCATGTAATTTGAAACACATCGAGGGCAAATTGTACAGGCATAGAGTTAAGGCACAGCATAGAGAAAAAGAGAGGGGGGAGAATTAAAGACGGGGAGGCAAGGGGATTGTGCATAAATAGAGGCAGCAGGAAAAGAGGTATGTGATTTTGGTGCATTTTTATTGTGCTATAATGTGGTGGAGAGGGTCAAAGGAATATGTTCGTGAAGGATTGCCTTATCTAAAATATGGCTGGGTAATATATTAACATTATATTGGATATAGGACTCCTGTATTTTATTTGTTAAAAGATCGAAAGTGATGTATTTTCCTGGTTTGAAAGGCAACATTACAGTAAATGAATGTCATTTTCTAATAGTTCTATTATTTCACTCCTTATTCAATACATTTACTTTACATATGATTATTAATCAACATTCTCATTGTGTAAATTATTTGTTAAAGCATTAATTGTTAACACTACATTACCGTCACTACATAACCACAATATTGAGGCCTAATCTGAATGAGGGTCTACGATTGAAGGTCTTATGTATATTCTGTTATTACGAAGTGAAATCTCTATTTGGCGTCTGTTTTAGCATATTAAAACTAAACATGGCAAAGAAATGTATGTTTGTTTGAAAGAACATTGTATACATTTACAAATTCAACCGTGAACTTACAACTAGACATGAGAGATGTATGAGGGGAAAGCTACCAGTGGCAGAATCTCAGTGTTAGTATTATTAGATCTCAGCGCTGCATTTGATATTGTTGACAACATATTGCTAGACCGACTAGAAAACTGGGTGGGAGTTTCGGCAACAGTTCTAAATTGGTTTGAATCTTACTTAAAGGACAGAAAAAACGTTGTCTCTATAGGCAACTACACATCAGCGTTGACAAATATGACATGTGGGGTTCCTCAAGGCTCCATCTTAGGACCTCTGCTTTTTAATATCTATATGCTACCACTGGCTCAAATAATGAAAAACAACGACCTAAGTTATCATAGCTATGCAGATGACACCCAAATGTATATAACAATTTCACCAGGACACTATTCTACAATTACAACACTGAGTAAGTGCATTGAGCACGTCAATGACTGGATGAGTAAAAACTTTCTCCAATTCAACAAAAAGAAAACTGAGATTATTGTTTTTGGAGCAAAGGAGGAACGAATAAAAGTAATCGCAGAGCTTCAGTAGGCAGACTTCAAAACAACAAATAAAGCAAGACATTTAGATGTAGTGATGGACTTTACATTACAACAATGATTAAGTCTGCATACTATCACCTTAAGAACATGTATAGGATTAAAAGACTAAAAACTTGTCCATGCTTTTATCTTCAGTAGACTCGACTACTGTAATGGTGTCTTCACAGGTCTCACTAAAAATCTATTAGAAAGCTGCAGCTGATTCAGAACGCCACTGCTCGAGTCCTCACTAACACTAAAAGAGTGGATCACATCAGTCCAGTTCTGAAGTCTTCACACTGGCTTCTAGTCTGTCAAAGAATTGATTTGAAAGTACTGCTGCTGGTTTTTAAAGCACTGAATGGTTTAGGACCAAATTATTTTAACGATCTCCTGCATAACTATAAACCAGCCATGAGTCTCAGGTCCTCTGGGACGGGTCTGCTCTCTGTTCCAAGAGTCAGAACTAAACATGGAGAAGCAGCGTTTAGCTATTATTCCCCGACCATCTGGAACAAACTCCCTGAATCCTGCAGGTCCGCTGCAACTCTTACTACTTTCAAATCCAGACTGAAAACTCATCTTTTTGCCGCTGCTTTTGATTAATCTGTTTATATTCACACTGCAGTATGGCTTTTATTCATGTATTCTATACCTGTTGTGTTTATTTTATTATCTTTGCTTTTTAATGCCTGTTTTTAAATGCCATTTATAATGTGTTTCTGCTGTATTTCTTCTTAAATGTCTTTTATTTTATTTTGTAAAGCAATTGCCGTGTGCTGAAAGGTGCTATATAAATAAACTTGCCTTGCCTATGCATTCTTTCTCCCCTCATTAACAATAAACCTTCATTTTTTCATCCTAACTCAGGAGGCTGTTTCCTGCGTAAGTGTCCACTCTAATGATTGTAACAACTTCTGACTCATGCAATTTGGTGTGTTGGACTTCACGATTCACAAATTGAATTCATTAATGAATATTGGTTTCAATATAAGGTACTTTGCATAATAAAAGCAGACACACAGATGGTCACTTAAAACAGATTAATCCCTATATACTATGGCTCAAGTTAATGGCAAAAATGAAGTTTATTTCATTATAATCTGAATGTAGAAGAAAGTTGACAGGTAAAAGGTTGGATTACAGCCCATCTGAGGTCCTCTTTAGAATCCACTGACAGTAAAACTGTCTGTGTGTCTACATCCGAACCAGATCCAGTGAAAAAAATAAACCTGTTGTCTTATATATGCAACGTGTTGTTTTTTTCTGCTGTGTTCAGTTTGACCTGCAGCTACAAACACATTGTGTGTAAAGAGAAAGTGTTTCATCTGTTATCATCAGATAACAGATTGTACGGCGTCCAGCAGAGGACTGCAGCCGAGGTGCCGCTGCCTGTGCTGTGCTCTCTTTTACTAGCTGGTGTTACTTATGGTTCACAGCAGTTGCTCCTCTTATTATTCAATATAAGTCACAGGAATGACCTTTCTGAGCCCAAGATCCACATTAATATTTTAGTGTGCTCATCTCCAAAGCATTAACTGTCTGTTTAGCTGACTGCGATACTGCCCCAATGTCATTCAAACCCTTTAAAGTGATTAGATGGAGATAAAAATGTGTCGTTATTATCATACGGTCTCTGTTGGAGGTGGTGCTGGAGCACTATCAGCTAGAGTTTCCCAGAGAGGGAAGTCTTTCAACCGTGTCCATTTATATCTGCAAACACTCTGCAGGAGCCTGTTGGCACGCAACAATTTGAACCATTTAATTAAGGTAGCTTTTTTTATTTTCAGTTCAATTAAAATCTGTTTAAAATATAACACAACAGCTGTCAGTGGAAATGGGATTGCTTTTTTTATAACACTTTACATGATGCAGTTTATTTAACAGGGATACAAGTTTAATTATGGCAAATTGAGCGCATGTCTGTGTTCAAACACCTTCATTTTGCAGTGAGTACTTCCATCAGACGTTGCTGTTTAGTTTTCAGACCGGCTGCTCTGTTCAGACAGTCTTACCCAATCATGAGAGGGGTCAGACTTAGTAGGATGCAGTAGGAAAAACTTAAATTCTGCACATGGAGTAAACTTAGCAATATGGTTACTTTAACCTCGATTTAGTTTGCATATCAAGTTTTTCTGGCACTTGAATGCATGGACTGAAACCATAGACTGAAAATGAGCCAAAAACAGACAATTACACACATTGAATATATATGTCAAGACAAGGAGATTGATAGCAGATTCCACCATTTTCAATAAATGAAGTTATTCCAAATATAATCAGATCCATGACAAGACTCAAAAGAGATACTAGCAGGCAATTACCCATGTATTAAACTGCAGCAATAGGCTTTGTCAAAAGTGGGTGGTTAAAGCTGGATGAACAATAACCAGTCTTTTCCTTTTACTTTAAGGGCTGTTAAAAAGTCACATTTGTCATTCTGTCTCATTTGGCTCTTCCGCAGGTCAACTCTTTTTTTCCCTCTCCTTTAAAGTGATGGGCAAAGGATCTCATCATATAGCGGATCCCTGAGGACGTTAGAGACAGTTAAAGGGTAGAGAAGGAGCTGAATTGATTCAGAGGACGCAGAGTGGAAATGACTTCATAGCAATTTGCTTCTCTCAGCAGATGTAACCTTCACTAAATGTGTGTGTGTGTGTGTGTGTGTGTGTGTGTGTGTGTGTGTGTGTGTGTGTGTGTGTGTGTGTGTGTGTGAGAGTGTGTTTGCACGCTCCTATATTTGGGAGTTTGCACAACTACTCGCATTAACATTAAAAAGGAAAAGCCAAGCCTGGAGTGCTGACTGAATGTGTCATAATCAGGGGATGAGGATGCAAATCTGGCCCCTCGGTGGAATCTAAACAGCCTTTAAAATGTATTGTGTACTTTATGCATCTATTTCATGGATCTAGAACTTTGTAAAGATCCCTCCCTCATCTATTCCCTCATAGTCTCTCATTCATTCCCTTCTTCTACTCCTCCTCCTCTTCCTCCTCCTCTCGTCTCTTCCTCTCCACCAAGTCTCTGCTTCCCTCCTCAGGCTACATCCTACTTTTAGACATTCACTGGTCTGGGATCTGATCAGCATTATGTGACGATGATTTATGAGCTTAGCGAGCAGATAGCAGAACAGAGCAGGGAGTGGATTTTAAGACACGCTTCATCAGATGACTTTACTGTTGGGCCTCTGCAGAAGTGAGGCAGGCTGAGTGCATGCATCTTTTATTAACAACCAACAACACCTTATCACCTGAATCTCCTCCTAGAGCACCATTGTGTTCTTTTTAACCAAATATCTCTCAGAGGGGCGTGGGGTGTGGCTCCTTATTTTCATCTACAGTAAAAGACAGAGAATCAGCACTTTTGAAACAGGGCTGAAACAGAGGGGTTTGTGGGATGCTACAATGCATGATCTGTTTGGTATTTCAAGCCAAACACTTCAGAGACATGTTTTGTATATATCTGAGACCTATAATATATTTATGAAAAACAGTATAATAGGGGACCTTTAAAACATTCTCTTTTTTGCACACAACACACACAACCAGAGGAGGAAAGA